TCCTGCTGTTCCACCCCTGCTATCCCCGTTATCCCATCACTATCCCATTATCCCATTCCCGTTATCCCATTCCCCTTATCCCACTGCTGTCTCACTGCTGTCCCATTGCTATCCCATTATCCTGTTATCCCTGTTATCCTACCCTCGCTATCCCGTTATCCCATTGCTGCCCTGTTATCCCATCCCCGTTATTCCGTTATCCCGCTATCCCATCGCTATCCCAGTCCTGTATCCCGTTATCCCATTCCTGTTATCCCACTGCTGTCCTGCTGTTTTCCCTCTGCTATCCTGTTATCCCATTATCCTGTTATCCCTGTTATCCTACCCTCGCTATCCCGTTATCCCATTGCTGCCCTGTTATCCCATCCCCGTTATTCCGTTATCCCGCTATCCCATCGCTATCCCAGTCCTGTATCCCGTTATCCCATTATCCCATTGCTATCCCGTTATTCCATTCCCGTTATCCCATTCCTGTTATCCCACTGCTGTCCTGCTGTTTTCCCTCTGCTATCCTGTTATCCCATTATCCTGTTATCCCTGTTATCCTACCCTCGCTATCCCGTTATCCCATTGCTATCCTGTTATCCCATCCCCGTTATCCTGCTATCCCATCGCTATCCCACTCCCGTTATCCCGCTATCCCATCCCCATTATCCTGTTATTCTGCTATCCCATTATCCCTCTGCTATCCCGTTATCCCATTATCCCACTGCTACTCTGTTATCCCGTTATCCCAGCTCCGTTATCCCATTATTCCATCTCTACCCTGTTATCCCATCCTCATTATCCCGCTATCCCACCGCTATTCCACTCCTGTTATCCCATTATCACATCCCCGTTATCCCGCTATCCCACTCCCGCTATCCCACCCCCATTATCCCATTATCCCATTGCCATCTCGGTGTTATCCCACCCCCGTTATCCCGTTATCCCATCGCTATTCCCGTTATTCCATCCCTGCTATCCCCCTGTCCCAGCGTGGCCCCCTGCCATCCCACTGTTATCCCATCACTGTTCCGTTATCCCAACGCTGTCCCGTTATCCCATTCCCATTATCCTGTTATCCCATCACAACCCCATTCCCATTATCCCACCCTCCATCCCCGTTATCCCATCACTGTCCCATTATCCCATGGCTGTCCCGTTATCCCAACCCCGTTATCCCACCCCTGTTAGCCCATTGTGCCATTGCTATCCCATTACCCCATTCCCATTATCCCATCGCTGTCCTGTTATCCCATCCCGCTATCCCATCGCTGTCATCCCCTTATCCCATTGCTATCTTGCCATTACCCCATTATCCCATTCCCGTTATCCTGTTATCCCATTGTTATCCCATCACTCTCCCGTTACCCCATCCCCGTTATCCCATTACCCCACTTCCATTATTCCATCCCCGTTATCCTGTTATCCCATCGCTACCCTGCTGTTATCCCACCCCCACTATCCCCTTATCCCATCCCCGTTATCCCGTTATCCCATTATCCCACCACTAATGCCGTTATCCTGTCGTCCCCATTATCTTGTTATCTCACTGCTATCCCATTATCCCATCACTGTCCCGTTATCCCATTCCTGTTATCCCACCCCCGCTATCCCAGTTCGTTATCCCATCGCTATCCCGCTGTTATCCCATCCCCGTTATCCCATCGCTGTCCTGTTATCCCCATTGCTGTCCCATTATCCCATCCCATTATCCCAACGCTGTTCTGTTATCCCACCCTGGTATCCCAGTCCCGTTGTTATCCCATCCCCATCATCCCACTCCTGTTATCCCGTTATCCCATCGCCACCTCATTCCCGTTATCCCACCACTGTCCCGTTATCCCATCCCTGTTAAACCGTTATCCCATCGCTACCCCATCCCCATTATCCCATCCCCGTTATCCCACTCCTGCTGTTATCCCACCCTCGTTATCCCATCCCCGTTCTCCCATCCCCGTTATCCCATTATCCCATCACTACTCAATTCCCATTATCCCATTCCCGCTATCCCACTCCTGCTATCCCGTTATCCCACCGCTCTCCCGTTATCCCATCCCCGCTATCCCGTTATCCCATTATCCCACTCTCGTTATCCCGTTATCCCATTATCCCACTCTCGTTATCCCGTTATCCCGTTATCCCATTATCCCGCTCCCGTTATCCCGTTATCCCACTGCTCTCTCGTTATCCCATTATCCCACTCCCGCTATCCCGTTATCCCACTGCTCTCTCGTTACCCCGTTATCCCATTATCCCACTCCCGCTATCCCGTTATCCCGTTATCCCGCTCCCGCTATCCCGTTGTGCCGCGCCCCGCCGCCGCTGCCGGGCCGGTACCGTGGGCAGCCCGGGCGGGGTGCCGGTGCCGGTGCCGGTGCCGCGGCGGCGGCAGAGGCGCAGGCGGCAGTGCAGGAACTGCAGCGGCTCCGGGAACCGCGCCGGGAGCACGAACG